AGGAGTGCTGGTGAACACCGGTTAGTACTTAGACATCTGCCAGGGTAACTTGCTTCTGTACTTATCCAGCTGGTTGGTGGGTGTCTTGCTACTGCTTTAGCTAACGGCCTCCAAGCCTGATCTTCCTATCTTCCTGTCATGTGATATGTTACAGGAGAAAAGGCAGTTTGCTTTTACACCTCTGAAAACACCTTTTCAGACACTTGGCTCACTTGATTGTGAGAAGCTGAGCATTCTGTATACCCTCAGCCCTAACAAACTTCTCACTACACCCCGTTTGTCTGATGATGTGGCCGCTAGCAACGAAACACATTACTTGATGTTCATCCAATTTACTACTATTTTAGTCCAATGATGACTTTGTGATCACTCAAATTACTTCTGGTGAGCCTCTGCCAATTTATGGGCATTTTTTTCCATCATACACTGTCACTGACCAATTCCAAGCTCTTTGCAGATAAAATTTGGACCAGCTCAAAGCATCTGAGTGCAACCAATACCTTCCAAAGAACTACACGGAGACAGATGTGTTTGCTGCAAGCCTACATTTAGGGTTTCATATACCACTTACAAAGAAAATATAATGATAAGGAAGCCTGGTGCTTTGAAACACATCATCCTATTGTTGAGAAAAGAGTGTTCCAATGATCACTCGCCCCTCTGACACAGTCACTCAGCTGACTAGCTTCACTACCTCTGGTCTGCAGTGCTTCCGATTACATCACTTCTGGACCTTAGATACCACACAGGAGCTGCCTGCAATCTTCTTGGTGTCTCCCTGGTCTGTCACACACGAGACTGCTATGGAACATTTTTGAGGGGCTTCATTCCTCTACGCCATTCAGTTTGTCTTTTCCAGCTGTTATGTGCTCACAGATTCCATCTTCACCACACAGTGCTGAGATATTTTGTGTACAAGATGTTGGATGTGATCTTTTATCTACACAAGATGTTTATATGGTGGACTATGTTATTAAAACTTCCACCACATGGCTTCTATATAGACTTTTTTTGGAAATCAGATATATTTGCTTTATTGTGCCTCACCCTATTTTTTCAGTCATGGACACCCTCCACTTACTAGTACACAGCATATAGTTTTCATTGTGACCATTTCCATTGCTCCAGTGGATTGCTAGCAGCACATAAGAGTGGGGACCAGAGAGTACATTATATTACATAGAGTCATATAAATTTACTTATATGAAGATTAGCCCATATGGTCTAGCGCTTTATGGTCCTGTTGTGGTCACATTGGTATACCACTTACAGTAGTTCTTTTGCAACCTTGCCATATGTTGAGTGACTTCTTCCCTTCTCCTTGTTTATTCACAGTAACTCATGTCTATCATCTATGTCACTAATGGTACTGCACAATGGTACTACACAAGGGTTTTCCTGTTTTCTCTCTCTCAATTTTCCACTAGGAGTTGCACACATACGTTTAGTTTCAAGCATCTATAGTAAAAAACCCTTTTGTATACGCAGTTTTGGGACAGTTTCAATTCACCAGTACACTGCCTGTACAGGTTCTCCCTCTATCAAAGCCGCCTACCTCGCCTACTACACACCCCTCCATGCCACCAAGCAAAACCTATTTCATAATCCTTATCAAACACCTTCTCCACTCTGTCCTTCACCGACTCCTTCTCCACTTTCAAATCCCTGCTCTCTCCCCCCCCACCTCCACACAGCACCTCACTCACCGCCCACGAGATTGCCATCACTTCCAAAACAAGATTGACGCAATCCGTAAGGACATTGTCAACTCAAATCCACCTTTCCACCCAGACTCCTGCCCTCCTTTAACCCTCAACCTCCCCTCCCCCGACCTCATAGCCGCACTACCCCCCCCACTATACCTAAATGGGCCCCGCACACCATCACCTCCCCAACACTCCGCTCCTTCAGCCCAACTACCCCTGAGGAGGTCTCTAAGGTCTTCACTGAAGCCGCCTCACCACCTGCCCCCTGGACCCTATCCCCTCACAGCTTCTCCAGTCACCCCCCTCCATCATTCGCTCCAGATCACCACACATCTTCAATCTTCTCCTCTCCACCGGCACCTTCCCTCCCCTCTAAAGCATGCACACATCACCCCCATACTCCAAAAAAACCCTCCATTGACACCACTAACCTTAACAACCTTAGACCATCTCCCTGCTGCTTTTCCACTTCCAAGCTCCTTGAGCGCCTGGCATACAATCGCCCTAAGCGCCCACCTCACTGCTAACAACGCCTCCCTTGACCCCTACAGTCTGGCTTCCTTCCGTGCACTTGCACCTCCACCGAAAAACCGCCCTACTTTAAAATCACCAACAGACCTGCTAACCGCCTGTCAGCGGCTCCCTGGTATGACCAGAGGTGTGTGACTGATGCAGGGAAACGCAGACTTCAGATATGTGATAAACCAATACAATTTATTAACACTAACCATACAAACATAAACGCAGTGCAATACTAAACCATAATACAGTGCAAACAAACCAACCAAACCACCCACAGATAACAGTACATACAAGCAAGCGTCAGCAGGGCCCCCCTCAGGCAGGCCGGGTCGGTCAATATCAATTAGGGCCGGTAGGTACAGGGGGGAGCAAGAGCAGAGAATGGCCGGGGGTCACAGGCCAGGTTCAGCAGGTAGCAAGCAGCGTTAGTACAGAGGGTCAGGCAGAGGGGATGGTCAGGTCACAAGCCAGAGATCAAAACAGGTAACAAGCAGCGTAGTACAGAGGGTCAGGCAGAGGGACAGAAAACAGGATGCAGGACAGATACATGGGCCAGGACAAACACAAACACCAAGGCAGAGTCTGTGGGTCTGGCCATCCCTTAAATACCCCAGCATCATCAGTTCCAGGTGTTAGCTGGCTGAAAGGTTGAGTCTCTGATTGCTGGGAGCACACCACGCTGGCCAGCCCTGGTACTGCAGATCAACAGGCAGGTGAGTCCCACCATTGCTGGCCAGTCCATTCCTAAACAGTACCCCCCCCCAAGGAGCGGCCTCGAGTGACGCTCCAAACAGTCCTAGCTGGGCAAAAATGTTCTCACCGCCCGGGTCTGGTAACTGGCGGGATATCAAAGACTGGCACACCGGGCAGGACTCCGGGGCTACCAGCGGCACACCGGGCTGGACTCCGGGCACAGGCACACCGGGCAGAGGCACAAGCCGGGCAGAGGCACATCGGGCAGAGGCACATCGGGCAGAGGCACATCGGGCAGGACTCCGTGCAGAGGCACATCGGGCAGGACTCCGGGCAGAGGCACATCGGGCAGGACTCCGGGCAGAGGCACATCGGGCCAGGACTCCGGGCAGAGGCACATCGGATTACCAGGAGCGAAGCAGCAGGCACCGGGCCCCCGGGCAGAAGCAGGCAGGCACCGGGCCCCTGGGCGGGGCGACATGCATCGGGCCCCCGGGGCGGAAGCAGCAGGCACCGGGCCCCCGGGCGGAGCAGCAGCAGGCACCGGGCCCCCGGGAGGGGCGACCGGGAGGCCCCCGGGCGGGGCGGCAGGCATCGGGGCCCCCGGGCGGAAGCGGCGGGCGCCCGGCCCCCCGGGGGGGCGGCGGGCGCCGGGCCCCCGGGAGGGGCGGCGGGCGCCGTGCCCCGGGAGGGGCGACGGGCTTTGGGCCCCCGGGCGGGGCGGCAGGCACCGGGCCCCCGGGCGGGGCGGCAGGCACCGGGCCCCCCGGGCGGAGCGGCAGGCACCGGCCCCCGGGCGGGGCGACGGCGAGGCCATCGTGCCCCCGGGCGGGGCGACAGGCATCGTGCCCCCGGGCGGGGCGACCAGGCATCGTGCCCCCGGGTGGGGCGACAGAGCACCGGGCCCCGGGCGGAGCAGCAGGCACCGGGCCCCCGGGCGGAGCAGCAGGCACCGGGCCCCCGGGCGGAGCAGCAGGCACCGGGCCCCCGGGCGGAGCAGCAGGCCCCCGGGGCCCCGGGCGGGGCGCCGAGACCGGCGTCGGGGCCCCCAGGCGGTTAGGCGGCGGGCGCCGGGCCCCCAGGAGGGGCGACGGGGCATCGGGCCCCCAGGCGGGGCGACAGGCATCGTGCCCCCAGGCGGGGCGACAGGCATCGTGCCCCCCAGGCGGAGCGGCGGGCGCGGACCCCCAGGCGGAGCGACAGGTCTTCGGGCCCTCAGGCGGAGCGGCGGGCGCCGGACCCCCCCAGGAGGAGCGACAGGTCTCGGCCCTCAGGCGGAGCGGCGGGCGCCTGACCCCCAGATGGATGAGCGACAGGTCTCGGGCCCTCAGGCGGAGCTAGCGGCGGGCCGCCGAACCCCCAGGCGGAGCGACAGGTCTCGGGCCCTCAGGGGAGCGGCGGGCGCCGGACCCCCAGGCGGGAGCGACAGGTCTCGGGCCCTCAGGCGGAGCGGGGGGGCCGCGGGACCCCCAGGCGGAGCGACAGGTCTCGGGCCCTCAGGCGGAGCCGCGGGCGCGCCGGGCCCCCAGGAGGAGCGACAGGTCTCGGGCCCTCAGGCGGAGCGGCGCGGGCGCCGGACCCCCAGATGGAGCGACAGGTCTCGGGCCCTCAGGCGGAGCCGCGGGCGCCGGGAACCCCAGGCGGAGCGACAGGTCTCGGGCCCTCAGGCGGGAGCGGCGGGCGCCGGACCCCCCAGGCGGAGCGACAGGTCTCGGGCCCTCAGCGGAGCGGCGGGCGCCGGACCCCCAGATGGAGCGACAGGTCTCGGGCCCTCAGGCGGAGCGCGGGCGCCGGACCCCCAGGTGGAGCGACAGGTCTCGGGCCCTCAGGCGGAGCGGCGGGCGCGGGTCCCCCAGGTGGAGCGACAGGTCTCGGGCCCTCAGGCGGAGCGGCGGGCGCCGGACCCCCAGGCGGAGCGACAGGTCTCGGGCCCCTCAGGCGGAGCGGCGGGCGCCGGACCCCCAGGCGGAGCGACAGGTCCTCGGGCCCTCAGGCGGAGCGGCGGGCGCCGGACCCCAGGCGGAGCGACAGGTCTCGGGCCCCCTCAGGCGGAGCGGCGGGCGCTGGACCCCCAGGAGGAGCGACAGGTCTCGGGCCCTCAAGCGGAGCGGCGGGCGCCGGACCCCCAGGCGGAGAGACAGGTCTCGGACCCTCAGGCGGAGTGGCGGGCGCCGGACCCCCAGGCGGAACGACAGGTCTCAGGCCCCCAGGCGGGGCGGCGGGCACCGAGTCACCAGGCACAACCGTGGGCTCCGAGTCAACTGGGATGACCGCTGGGCACTGGGTCAGACATTGGATCGTCTGGCTGGACAGCGGGCATCGGGTCACCAGGCATCAGGTCATTTTGGCTCGACAGCGGGCACCGCGTCATCTGGCAAGGCTGCAGTGGGCTCCGAGTCAACAGGCACGACAGTGAGCACCGGGTCATCAGGTACCGGATTGTCTGGCTCGACAGCGGGCATCGGGTGTCACCAGGTATGACAGCGGGGCACTGGGTCACCAGCAGGCATCAGGTCATTTGGCTCGACAGCGGGGCACCGGTCCATCAGGTACCGGATCATCTGGATCAACAGCGGGCATCGAGTCAACTGGCCTAATAGGATCGTCAGGCTGGATCAGTTCATCATGCTGGGTAGAGGCATCAGGCTGCATGCCGGCGTCCGGCCGAGTAGAGGCTTCAGGCCGAGTAGAGGCATCAGGCCGAGTAGAGGCTTCAGGCCGAGTAGAGGCATCAGGCTGATCAGGCCGAGTAGAGGCATCAGGCCGAGTAGTAGAGGCTTCAGGCCGAGTAGAGGCTTCAGGCCGAGTAGAGGCTTCAGGCCGAGTAGAGGCATCAGGCCGAGTAGAGGCTTCAGGCCGAGTAGAGGCTTCAGGCCGAGTAGAGGCATCAGGCTGAAGAGAGAGGCATCAGACTGCGTACCGGCATCAGGCTGAAGAGAGGCATCAGGCTGAGTAGAGGCATCAGGCTGAGTAGAGGCATCAGGCTGAGTAGAGGCATCAGGCTGAGTAGAGGCTTCAGGCTGAGTAGAGGCTTCAGGCTGAGTAGAGTAGGCTGAGTAGAGGCTTCAGGCTGAGTAGAGGCATCAGGCTGAGTAGAGGCTTCAGGCTGAGTAGAGGCTTCAGGCTGAGTAGAGGCTTCAGGCTGAACCACGGAAGGCAGGCTCACCGGTTTGGATACTGGCAGGATGGTATTGGTTGGAAAGAATTTTCGCTTTTTTCTGGTTTTAACTACTGGAGCACTGCAAGTAAACGCAGGTCTGCAAACGAATGGAGCAGCTGGAGACAGAGAAGAACTGGAGGATGGAACAGGAGAGGGAGCAGTTGCTACAGAGGGCTCTTTTACAGGGTTAAAGGCAGGATAGGTGCAGCGAGTGGGAACAGGGTACTGACATGCGGTAGATAGCAGGGCAGGAGGAGCTGTTGGGAATGCAGGAATAGAGCTTTGAGGAAATAGATTAGAAGCAGGACTGGGTCTTTGTAAGCTCACTGAGGCTGGGTGCAACAAATCTGTCCATGTCTGCAGTATGGGTTGAACAAAGCTGAGCTTACACAAAGCCTGTCTGGTCAATGACTGTACACTGCGTTTATACAGTCTCTTAGTGTCTGTGGTGAACATGTGGAATAACGCTCCAGAAAGTAACCCACATCATCCTCTAATAACCACACCAGGGACTCTACCTGGTCTGCACTAAATGGTGGCAAAAATTCATCCCTGCATTCGGGGGAACCAGATGAAACCAACTCAGCACAAACCTCAATCAAAGGCTGCACCTCAGAGAACTCTGTGCCCTGATCTACTAGAACATGAGCGAGCCGTATACATTCTAGCAGTTCATCCCGGGTATACTCCTTCAGAGTTTGATAAGCATACTCCCTGTCATCAAACACTAGCAGATATAAATATTCAACCTCATCAAGATCCATCCTTCCCATCAACAAGCCAAGATGGCTTCCCTGTGCAGCCACTTCTGGTCAGGATTGGCCTTGGTGTAATGTCAGGGCTCCCAGGTATGACCAGAGGTGTGTGACTGATGCAGGGAAACGCAGACTTCAGATATGTGATAAACAATACAATTTATTAACACTAACCATACAAACATAAACGCAGTGCAATACTAAACATAATACAGTGCAAACAAACCAAACCAAACCACCCACAGATAACAGTACATACAAGCAAGCGTCGTCAGGCAGGCCGGTCAATATCAATTGGGCAGGTAGGTACAGGGGGAGCAAGCAGAGAATGGTCGGGGTCACAGGCCAGGTTCAGCAGGTAGCAAGCAGCGTAGTACAGAGGGTCAGGCAGAGGGATGGTCAGGGTCACAAGCCAGAGATCAAAACAGGTAACAAGCAGCGTAGTACAGAGGGTCAGGCAGAGGGACAGAAACAGGATGCAGGACAGATACAGGGCCCAGGACAAACACAACACCAAGGCAGAGTCTGTGGGTCTGGCCATCCCTTAAATACCCCAGCATCATCAGTTCCAGGTGTTAGCTGGCTGAAAGGTTGAGTCTCTGATTGCTGGGAGCACCCGCTGGCCAGCCCTGGTACTGCAGATCAAAAGGCAGGTGAGTCCCACCATTTGCTGGCCAGTCCATTCCTAACACCGCCAAAGCCAATGGCCACTATTCTATCCTCCTGCTCCTCGACCTCTCCGTGGCCTTTGACACTGTTGACCACCCCCTCCTCCTTGCCAAACTGCACTCCCTTGGCATCTGGGACGCTGCTCTCTCCTGGTTCTCCTCCTACCTACCTTTCCCAATACTCCTTCAGCGTCAAGTACAACACTGCCACCTCTCCCTCCCTCCCCCTCTCTGTCGGGGTCCCCCAAGGCTCTGTCCTCGGGCCCCTCCTCTTCTCCATCTATACCTCCTCCCTTGGCAAACTTATTCACTCCCACGGCTTCAACTACCACCTCTATGCCACAACACCCAAATTTACCTCCTCACCCCCACCTCACCGCCCTCACTCTCCGCCCGCATCACCTACCTCCTAAACGACATATCTGACTGGATGTCGCTCCATTTCCTCAAACGTAACCTATCCAAAACCGAGCTCCTGGTCTTCCCCCCAACCCGTGCCCCCCCATCCTCTCCATCACTACTAACAACGCCACCATCTCTCCCACCCCACATGCCAAAGTCCTGGGTGTCACCCTGGACTCCCACCTCTCCTTCCTACCCCACATCCAACTGCTATCTAGATCTTGCAGGCTCCACCTATGCCACATCTCCAAGATACGCATATTCCTCACCCCAGACACCACCAAAAACTCATACACTCCCTCATCATCTCACGCCTGGACTATTGCAATTCCCTTCTCACTGGCCTACCCAAACGAACGCTATCCCCACTCCAGTCGATCCTAAACTCAGCGGCTAGACTCATCCACCTCACCAACCGCTCCACATCTGCCTCCCCCCTCTGCCAATCCCTTCATTGGCTCCCGATTGCCCAACGCATCAAATTCAAACTGCTAACTCTGACCTACAAAGCCATTCACAATGCCACCTCAAACTACATAACCGACCTGATACCCAAATACCACCCTACCCGTGCCCTCCGCTCCTCACAGGACCTCCTGCTCTCTATCTCCCTGGTTTCCTCCTCCCACGCCCGATTACAGGACTTCTCTAGGACGTCCCCCATCCTCTGGAACTCCCTACCCCAATCCATCAGACTGTCACCTAACCTGCTCACCTTCAGGCGCACCTTGAAAACCCTCCTCTTCAGGGAAGCCTACCCCAACCTCACCTAACACCTGACCTCACCTAACAACTTACCTCCTCCACTCCTCCCACCACTCCATCCCCCACAGCCATTTCCTCCTGTACCACCTTCCCCTCCCTCCTAGATTGTAAGCTCGAAAGAGCAGGGCCCTCGAACCCCTCATGTATTGTATTGTTGCTGTCTTGTCTCATGTTTGTCCCCCTTGCTACTGTACAGCCCTGAGCATACCCTTTGGCGCTATATAAATACTGTATAATAATAATAATGTTTGTCAGTAGTGCTGTCTGTCTCCATAACAACAAGATGGCAGACAGCGCAATTGATGGAAAAACGCAAAATGCATGTTGTTCTGCGTACTTGTGACTCTCCACTGATATAGGTGGCCAAGAATCACTATCTCTGCCACTTATAGATAGCATTACTCTTGACCTATACTAATTAAAAAAAATAACTCGCTATATAACCCTGAAGTAAGCAAAATCATCCAGCAGAATAATTAAACAGTATCAGTATATTGTGTTACTTAGGTACAATAATTTTTGTAATAAATAAAAAAGAACACTAAAATAAATGTAAGTGTAGCATCTTAAAATGAGTGAAAGTTTGATCACTTATTATTTCTGCAGTAGAGTAAGTCTTAAAATAGTTTGTGCTTGCTACATTTTCAACGACTTAATAGTCAATGCTCTCTCCTTTCTTGTCTCCTTCTGGTACTGAATAGAAGGCAGGCGAATGATCAGTTAGGACTTAACATCTATTGTTCAAAAGACATCTATTTATACATTAACTTTATCTTAAATGATTTTGATTAATAGCCTTGGTGAACACCCCCTGATTTTTTGAAAAGAGATAATTTTTGCTGCCGCAGCTGTTTAACTTTCCAGGGACAGGAGCGTAGCAGTCTCTGAGCTCTCATATGATCAATGCCTGTCACAGCTGATTCCAGGTGAGAAATGAGGAGGGTGGATTTTTTAATCCCCACATTTTGCACGCATTAGCCAAAGGATGTACAGGAAACAATGTGATTCACAAGCAAAGCAAATAGATTCCTACAGTCCTACATTGTTTACATTCCCATGTCTCCTTCCATTGTCATCTCAGTGTTCCAATCGTATCCATCCCAAAAATTACAGATGTGCAATGAACCAAAAGATTCCTATTAAACTACACATCAAAAAACAAGCAAGAGATTTAAAGTTTGATATAAAGCCATGGCATATTTACAGACCAAAAGAACCTTTGATTTAGTTCATATGTGTTGAAAATTGATAGAAACACATAAACTACACTTCATTTTAGACAGGTATTTTTTAATTATATTCTATATAACTTGTTTACAATTTTATAATCATTTTTCTTAAAGCATATACAGTAATTCCTCGGTTTAAGAACGCCTTGGTTAAAGTAATTTTCAGTTTACAAATGAAAATCCACTGAAAATAATGCCTCGGTTTACAAATTTTGCATGAATTTTTTTCACCATACGAAGTGTATGTCAGTGCTGATTTTTAAATGCAATTGCTGGCTCTTTTCTTTTTCTTCACTATAACTCACAGAATTAGCTGTCACTTTCCCCAAAGTTAACGGAAATGTTGTTTCTTTTAAGAATCTGAAAAAAGAAACATTGTTTGCCCCCCCCCTTTCCTGACCTGCCAGGCTGCAGGCTCTGAAAAGGTTCTGGTATGGATTTTGGGAAGGACCCCCACGCCCATTTTGTTTTAAATTTTGGCGTGGGAGTTCCCCTCAAAATCCATACCAGACACGAAGGGCTTGGTATGGATGGGAAGGGGGACCCCACGCAGTTTTTTTAAATTAATTTTTTAATTGCCGGCAATTTTTTTACATTCAGCTGTCAGTGGGGAACCCCACTGACAGCTGAAATATTAA